GCACTGGCCGCCATGGCCCAAACGAAAGTAAAAAGACTTCTAGCTCATAGTTCAATTGGACATGTAGGTTATATTCGTACTGGTTTCTCATGTGGAACCATAGAAGGAATTCAATCACTACTCATTGGTATCTTTATTTATGCATCAATGACGATAGATGCATTCGCCATAGTTTTAGCATTACGCCAAACCCGTGTCAAATATATAGCTGATTTGGGCGCTCTAGCCAAAACGAATCCTATTTTGGCTATTACCTTCTCCATTACTATGTTCTCATACGCAGGAATACCCCCGTTAGCCGGCTTTTGTAGCAAATTCTATTTGTTCTTCGCCGCTTTGGGTTGTGGGGCTTACTTCCTAGCCCCAGTGGGAGTAGTGACTAGCGTTATAGGTCGTTGGGCGGCCGGAAGGTTTCCACGAGTCAGTCAGTTTGGGGGACCGAAGGCAGTTCTCCGTGCACCGGACACGTAGCTTACCGAATCAGTTGCGACACGGATGGGAATGCATGCTACGAAAGATAGGGTCGAGTCTGATACAGAAACCGTCTACTCAATATCCTTGTACGAGTCCACAATCACTACACGAGATGAACCTGAGTTTTGGTGAATTGAAGTTGGCCTTAGGTGTAATGACTCCCAGTTACTCACGCGCGATCGTATACTGAGGTGCTCCCCGCCGGTTGTTGGAACGACGCGAGCCGGGCCGGGTCTCGATTCAGAAAGATGAAGGGAAATAGGGGGGTTACAAATTCCCCATCTCATTGGGGGCGGAAAACGAATCGACATCTCGATGTGATACAGCCCTTTCTATTTTAGTTGGGAAAGAACGGCGAAGTCCATCCGAACCGTCCAATGAAGAATAAGAGGAGAGCAAAGCGCCAATGGCGCGCGAAGCGCATGCGGAACGGGCACGGATAAAAAGAAGTGTGGAGGAGAAGCAGCCGAGCTAATTCCCTTCGCTTCCTGGGTCCAAAGCAGTATTTCCTGGCAAAAACAAAAGAAAGGATTTGGGGTGACTCTAAATATACATTTTTTTTAGTCATATATGAATAGAAAGATAGATCCATCCATCTATGCTATCTTATTTCTATTTTGATATAGAAAAAGCATTCAACGTTGAATGAAAAGAACTCCCCCCCACTCATGAAACGGCTCTGCTGCAATGGATGGCAGAGGGTCCGTAGTACCCGAAGCACTGGAGTGATCCAGTAGCCGGGAAGGGGCCTAGAAGTGCCTACTACTACACCACACTACACAGGGCTCTACACATTGACAAAGCTCACCCTGTCCAGAGCTAAGGGGGCTTCAATCCTTACCTATTTATCCCCCAGGCTAACGGGGCCTTACTTATTAAGGGGGGAGCCTCGAAAAGCACTGTTTAGAGGAAGATCCTTGGCCCCTCTTCATTCTCTACAAGGTTCCAAACCTTTCTTCAACATAGGTGACAACGAGCCAGGCAGAGATGGAAGAGATCAAACACGGGAATAAGAAGCAAGCTCGCCTTCCTTTTTGATCATTTTGATAGAGGGGGATGCAGAAAGTGGACAAAATAGACTCGCATTTCTCATCGAACAAATACAGTATTTCATTGGTTACATATTGAAAACGGCTCCTAACCCCTTCCTTCGTAGAGCCCGTGTATTGTAAGTGATCCGAACCTGCCCGGAGCGAGCCTCCCATATAGGCAAGTTCAGTTGGTGAGCCGTATGATGGGCAACTATCTCCTGCGGTTCGGAGAGGACTAAGCTGTTAGTTAGTACCCCCTTGGTTTCGGGGTGGACCCTTTCACTCTATTTTATTATATACGCTTAGTGAAAAGAATGTTTTTTGATACACCTAGGACATGGATTCTATATGAACCAATGGATCGTGACAAGTCGTTACTACTAGCAATGACTTCCTCTTTCATTACTTCATTCTTTCCATATCCTTCTCCTTTGTTCTCAGTTACTCATCAAATGGCACTCAGTTCATATCTTTAAGTTCGATCATTGACAAGGTTCAAAGAAAGGGTGGGGCTCTAAATGAATAGAAAGACAGATCCGCTGATCTTATCAGCCCTTTTCTTATATATAGGATAGCACCATCTCTTCCTACTACGCGGTAATATTTTGAAGACTATGCTTTTGTCGGTACGGAAAGCTAGTCTTCTTACCCAGATTCAAGTGAGCCCAATAGTGCAGCGGATTCTGTAAGAGCAAGGATAGAAGGGACATCCCGATGGGAAAGAAGGAAAAGACAGTCTTTGACTTCCCGAAGGCAAGGCTGCTACCAAGCCTTATTTCTTAAAAGCCAAAGGGCTAGAACCCAGGAAATCAATCTATAAAGCAGAAGTCGATGCTAGACAACCGTTGGCTCAGGGACGGATCCCATACATCTATAATTCGCTTACTCAAGTGAGAGTTCCCTATAAGAATTATAGGAGTCCAGTTCATAATATTTGAAAAGCTATCGAGCTATAGGAAAAGGAAAGTAAAGCGTTAGGGCAAATCTAAATATATATCCAGTTTTCAATCCAGCAGGTATAGCAGGTTTACTAGCCATTGATCCAGTTATAGAACTAGTTTGAATGCTAGTTCCAGTGATTCAATTGCATAAAAATGAGAATCTATTCCCCCTTTACCTGCGGTTGGACTCCCTAGAGATTTATTTTCATGAGAGGGTGTAGGATTACTATCATAGGTTTCTGGAGAGGTGCTCTAATAACGTCTGGGTCTGGGAGAATACTCAAATCTTATTTTTCCTTAATGAACTCTAAATAGGAAGTTTACCAAAAACCCAGTGATCAAGCAGGGAAAAATGCAAGCCTGTGAGGAATCAAGTTGCTTTTTAAGGTAGGAGTCTGTATCAAGTAAGCTAGGAAGTACTATTGGAAGAAGCACTATTTCAAATGCGAATGGATGGATTTGATTCGTTTTATTTTATCCAGTCCTAAACTAAGCGTATCCGATAGCAGTGCTTCGCCCTTCGAGTGCTTATGCCTTTTCTGATAATTCTTTCCCTGGGAAGTTTGGTCTAAGGAAGGGGATAAGGGGTCTCTTTCTGTCCATGGTTATCTGGTGAGGCTAACTCGGTATCCTCTTTCCGTGTGAGAAGCTATTTGCAATATATCCTTTCAATTCAAATGAAAGTAAAAAAGACCCCAGCCATTTAGAGTCTTAAGCTAAGCGCATTCTAGGAGGAGGGGAATAAAGCAAGCCAGTTCCTTGTCTTCGTTCTGTCCGGTTGGATGGAGCGGATGTTGAAAGAGCTAGGATACCAATCGGTCAGGGAATCGGCGATTTCCTTTCACGAATAGGAAAGCATAGAAACTCAAGAAAGAGGTCGTAGTCTACCCGAGAGGTGTTAGCGTCCATGCAAGGAAGCAATCCAGGGCTTCAAAGTTCTTTTTTTAGTCACGATAAGAATGAAAGGTAGTTCGCCAGAGATGCTGGCCCTATCTAATCTTATCTAATTCAGGGTCCAGCTCGTGACAATCCCGTTTATTGCGTCGAAACCAACCGGAGGAAAAGAATATTTCTTTATTATTATGATTGATAAGGTAGTGGAAAGTACCCCGTTGTTAGGGTGGGGAATCCAATTGAGAATCGTGGTAGTAGACATAGACGTTCAAGCAAGCCTAACCGATCGGATGGGACTCCCGCAAAATGGACAGTGAATGCTCAATCAAGTCCGATGGTTCCGATAAGGGGTTAGTACGCTATTACTAGGTAGGCTCTATACGGCACAATAATGAATGCGAATTCGCAGGTCGCTCCTAACTCCGCACCAAACCTGAAGGAGTTTGACCCAAAGGGGGTTGAACCGCGGATTGTTGCTAGCCGCCCTTACTCAACATAGGGCAGCTAGCAGTTCTTGTGTGACGAGTGTTGCTAATTCATAGCCACCAAATCCAGGTAGGACAATTTGACGGGTCCACTTAGAACCCATGCTTTGAAAAAGGCATGTCTCGGTTGGTTTGAAATGGTTTCGAACGTAGTACGAGCCTCCTTTTCTCAATACACTTAGTTAGCACCACAAGCGTCTTGAGCGCGCAGAATCAAATAAAAATTCCTTTCACCCTATTAGGGCGATACGGAAGTGAGCTAGACTGTCTCATGTCAAGGTATATAGTATTGAATGACTAGTAGACTAAAAAAAGGGGTGTTTGCTATGCCGGAAAGATATGCCTACTATGGGGCTTTCAAAAAGTATTTTTGTGGTACAACACCACAACCAAAAAAGGGTAGTCGCTTATGATGGTACGATCTGGTACCGGGATCATAGTGCGTAGCCGGGAAGGAAGTGTTTATGAAGTTCGCAGTGAAAATGTTACTTGTGCCCCTTTCCTTTAGTTGGTGAAAGCTAAGGTGGAAGTTGGTGGGCGTATAAGTGAAAGTGCAATCCAAATCATCATCTGCAATATCCACATCTTAATCAACAGACTAAGCAGCAGGTAAGGGTTTCAATGTTTTTTTTTTCATCTTCATTCGAAAAGGCGAGAGAGAGTAACTAGGTCGAACTCGAAGACGCTCAATGGAAAAGCCATAAACAACCGGCCCCTATCACATAAAGGGCGAACCCACCTGAGAATGCCAAGCCTGGTACTGGTAGGTGATCGGAGTGATATATACGATCAATCAGGTTGAGGAACAACAAGCTATGAGCGGACACCAACAACCGTTACCGTTTTAGGTGGAGAAGACTAGAAAGCAGCATGTACGGGTGTGGGTGGTAGGAAGAGCAAAGTAGTAATCCCCGAGACGATTGGATTTTATTATAGTGAGTGGAAAGGAAAAGGTTCCATTAGCAGACCCCTCCCTTGTGAAGGGAAAAGAATTCATCCTGCGGAGGGCCTTACTATAGATAGGCGCGAGCCGCTTCTCATCTTTGAGGATCGGCATTCTATCTTGATTTTCTCTTCCCGATGAAGGGGACACGACAACATTTGCTTAGGAGATTGGGGACCACACCTCCTTCCAAGACCCACTCACATCCGATTGCGGGAAAAGCCTCTATATCAGTCTTCCTTAAGTGAATAAATGACAATTTAAAAGATTCTGCTCGTGAGCATAATGGTATAAGCCTGCCTGCTGAAGACCGTAACGTAAGTAACTTAGTGCAAAATCAAAAGTGAAGTACCCGCACGTGTGTAGAGATCAACGGAAGACTCCGCGGCAGAACGATCCGACGAAATGTGCCGCATTGGCCCGATAAAAGAGAACAAATAGAGAATGCTTGTGTGCGTGCATGGAGCCCATGAAATACCATGAGAGAACGAAATGTAAGCGATAGAAGGAGAGAAATCCTATTCAGGAATGAAAGGTACGTGCAAGGGTGAATCTTGAGAGGTTGGACAACAACTACGCACGAATTGGATTCGCAATAGCTTGCTTTCTCTTCGGACAAGAAATATCGTATGATAAGAAATCAAGCCAATCTTTCCCCGCCTCGATGTCAATAAAAGAAGGCTTGCCCGAGCTCTGGTAAGAAGGACGTCGTCTCATACATTGCGAAGGGCCTCTCCATCTTCGAATGAGGAGGCCAGCCCAGAACGAAGTAGCAAGCCTAGACCAAAGAGGGATCTTGTACGAATCCATGTTCGAAGGCAAGCAAGGCAGGTGAGAGGACCAAAGGCCTTCGTCAGATGTTAGAGTTGGAAGGCAATCAATGGAAGAACTCCGATGGGAGTAGAAGGGTGATAGCATCGACAAAGAGAGGTCTTTTGGCGTCTTCTCTTATGATATTTGTTTAGAGCGTGATCGGATCATTATAAAAAGTCTGGTTCTGGTTTAGCTGGCCGCTTCTAAAGTACGGATGGGACGTCCAACTCGAGAGCTTTTCCACTCAATAAAAAAAATGAGTCAATATAGGGCTAAACACGAATAGGCGCCTCTACACGGGAAAGGAAGCTCACGAGAAAGGAATAGGTGGAGGCCACCCGGCAGTACAAAAACGAAATTAGACATTGGGGACAAACTCAATAGTCAAACATTCCAGGAGTCAAAGACTCCAACGGCTAGCATTTCGGCAAACGCTCTTGAACTCCATCTTACTGTCTACGATGTCGTACTGTCGGAGATATTTCTTCATTCGTAGATGTATACGGATATAGTGATTCGGAGGTTACAACATTATTCGTATGTTCTAACACTCCAGCGGGATTCATTGTTTTCTCTTTCTGGGTACATTGGAATTGACTATTTCATTATCTTTTGAATGATAAGAAATCATGTTCAACAAACAAAAATTTATAAATGCGGTTTCAGCTGTAGGTAATTTAGAAGTGTTCGAGCTCGCCCGAAAAATGGAAAATCTGAGTTTGGATGATCAAAATACTAGTACTATTTCATCTATGTGTCACACAAATAAGTATTCAACCACTAGTCAAATTTTGGATAGATTTAAAAAATATAGTATGAATTCGGAATTGACACGCAAATTGATGGATCAAATCAAATTACCCTTATTGGATATACCTAAGACTGTATTGGATTTGACTTCTAATATATCTAATTATCAATTTACCTTAGGTTTTAGATTTATGCCTGGACAAAGTGAGTATGTACAAAATCATCTGAAAATGCCTGAGACTTTAGAAGGTTTAAAAGGTTTAAGAAATAAACTAGGACTATCTTTAGCAAAAGACTCTCTAAATCATCGAGGTATCCTCCAGTTTCATGGTTTATCAGAAATACATGCAAAAGGCTCTATGCTGATGAATCGTGTTTTGGTTGAAGCTATCACTTATCATAATGGATTTTATGGACGTTTCATAGTATTGGCCCAAATAGGCATAGGTTTGACCGTATGGTATGCGTTTACACCCGGAGATGGATTGAACATTCCTATTGAAGCACAAACACCCTTATTCTCACCAATAGATAATTATGAACCCTTCTTTTACAATCCTGATGTTTATGTTCACCCAGGATTTGACAAGATGAAATTGATGATCAACCAAGATAATGCTATAGAAGCACTGTCCACTGTATATACTGGTGAGTTACCATTTGTTGATATCAAAATACCAGCTCATG